AGGGAAACACAAAAAAGCAAATAATAATAGTTACTAATGATGATATTAGTACTTGAATCTGTTTAAAATAAGGCACATGATTTTCATATTTCACTAGCCAACAGACATTTCTTCCAGAAAAGAAAAAAGGTGTAATCCATTTCAACTGATCACACTTGGATTCTTAAAGGATTTTTATTTTGCCCCCAGACTCTTTTAAGGCTCTATAACAAAGAGATCCATATCAGCTGGCATGAAAATCATGAAATATGAAGTCATTTTCAAAGGAAGGTGAAACTAGAGGACACTCTACATCATGAAGTAACTGAACAAGATGATCCAACACTTGCTTTATCCCAGCTCTTCCCTGCTCAGACAGCTCAGCTGTGCTGCAGGTCCAGAACAGGTTTTCACGCACACTGTAGAAAAAAGCCTCCCCAGAGTCATGAGTTCTCATGTTCAGGCACATTTGAATTGCACACAAGAGTGGTAATTTCCCTCCCCACTGAAGAGCACATGGGAGGGAGAGGGCCTTTCCTAGAGCCTGCCCCTGGTTTGGACTCAACCCCAACCCCTTGCAATGGCAAGAAGCTGAGCTGGCTAAGTACATCAGCAGATCAGAAGATTCCTTCCACCACCATAACCCTGATTCGTAACACAGACAACCAACAGGCATGAAGAGACTTTTCCTTCCATCCCAAAGAGCTGCCCACACAGTGTGGGTCCCATATACAGTTGATATTAAATCTTGATGCTTCAAGTTCCCTTTGCTTTGGCAAAACTTTCACCCAAACCAGCAAATCACAGAATCCCAGACTGGTCTGGGTTGGAAGGACCTTAAAACTCATCTCATCCCACCCCCTGCCATAGGCAAGGACACCTTCCACTAGCCCAGATTGCTCCAAACCCCATCCAACCTGGCCTGGAACACTCCCAGGGATGGAACAGCCACAGCTTCTCTGGACAACCTATGTCAGTGCCTCAGCACCTCACAGGGAAGAATCTTTCCTTAATATCTAATCTAAACCTACTCTGAGTTTAAAGCCATTCCCCCTTGCCCTGTCACTCCATGCCCTTGTCCAAAGTCCCTCTCCATCTCTCGCGTACATCTCCAGAAGCTCAACATTTTATCATCACAGCCTGAGTGGGTTGGGGCAGCAAACAAGGCTCAGCTAGAGATTCTTGTGTTGTTCTGAGGAGTGACAGCACAGTCCTGGCTCCCACAGCTTCACTGTGTATATAGCTGTGCCCAGGGCTTTGCACAGAAGCACTGAAAGCAGGAGAGCTGCATGCAGAGAAAGAGCCAATTCAGCACAAGAGCAGAGCATAATCTGCCCACAGTCACTAACCTCACTGCAGCAGGGAACCAACAGAGCTGAGATGTAAACACTCACAATCATAACTGCCATGCCAGGTTTGCATTTTTTTCATTTTGGGTTAACAAAAACAGAGCAAGTGAAATAATCAGAATTATTCTTTACACCTACTGCTGATAAAAAGAACATATTTTCATCAAAAAATAGTTTTATTGAAGCAAATCTGTTTCACGGGAACAAATCCAACGCAAAGAACCTGACAAGCACCTGTCAAAATATTTCAGTTCAGCAATAGCAACTCAGCTAATTTCTATACGGTTTTTTTCTATATTTATACATTTATGGCTGTATAGTATTACCTATTCTTAAAGGCAAAGTTGCAGCTCTCAAGGTACCTCACAGAGAGGGAATACAAACTCCCTCACAAGCTCTAGTCATCAACAGGATTTTCAGGCTGCATTAACTCTAGCAGAAATTGCTGCGAAGATTTTCTTTGTGTCTAAGACTACTTAAGTATTGGAATAGATTGCACACAGAGCTATGAAGGCCTCAGCATTGGAGATCTTTAAGAGCAGCTTAGCCAAAATCCTGCCAGAAATGACTTAGCAATATTTGACTGCCTCAGGCATGAGAAGAGCCTGACCGACCTCCAAGCAGACCTTGATATCCTCCTTTTCTCTGCTATTACTATCCCATTAAGCAATAAAAAAACCTGACAAACAAGATCCATCCTGTCTAGTACCTTCTCTCCTGAATGGGTGAGACCAGCAAACCCCAATTCAGCACTGCACAGTTACAGGGTTTGAGTCAGTAACTCTGCACTGATTCTCTC